TATAAACAATATTTATTTTTCAATAATACATTAATGTATTCATTATATATTCCATGAATAATGTAAGAAAAGTGGTTGATTTTGAGGAAAAGAAAACTAAACATGACAGGTAACAGCTGCATTTTCAAAGCAACACGAACAGCAGAAAATGAAATATCAATTTGATGAAAACATTCAACTGCATAAAGAATTCTTAACAAACAAACAAACACTAAATAAATTTGCATCAACCTCCAGTCGCAGGAGACTCCAATTTATATACAATGTGCCACAATATATCACATATTGAATATAACGTATCCCTCATCCCCTTGTCATCCATTTACTGCTTCTTACTCCTCATCTTCTGTTTCGAACCCTTTGCCACTCCCTTCTTCGCACCTCGGACCAAGCTGGTGAACTGTCCTTGGAATTTGGCCTTTTTCCTGCGTGGGAAAGAGAAAAGATAAACAGTTAGTAGAGGCAAGACTCCATTTAGAATGACAATGTTGGATACCTTCTTGTTAACTCCTGCAAATCTCTTTTAAAAGCTGTGAACCAGAACAAATATATATTACACAACTGCATGAAAATGGAAAATAATCACTATATATTACTGTATAAACAAAGAAGTTGTCCAAATGGAAAAGTATCCTAAAATCTTAACTGAAATACAGTGACGAGTATAGAGCAACACTATTGAAAGACACCACTTTCTCACCTCTTGTTGAGTCTGTCTTTGGTGAACTGCACATAAGCATATGGCATAACCTTCCCCTTCTTCATCATATCTCCCTTTGCCTTCTTCATGCGGAAGTCTGAGCCGTAGTCAAAGCGCTTCTTCTGTGCTATCTTCTTGCTGTTTACATTGCTTGGGCCCTTTCCAGACACCTATGGGGAACAAGACACAGTGTCGGTGAATGCCACGAAATGGACTTAGTACCAAGAAAAGCCGAATACTAAAGAGAAAACACATATTATGATGAAACAAGAGATAGTAAACTCACACATAATATATATATCTCAAAGTCAGAAACCCTACATAAAAAACCAGTACGCACAAAACAGCCCTAGTGAGAAATCAACAAAATCAAACACGAGTCTGTTTTCCTACCTTGTTGGGGGGTTCCTCGTTCTCGTCCGAACCCTCGCTCAAAGTCCTCTTGCGCTGCTTGATCTTGCCTTCCTTCACACCCGCCTTCATTTCCAAGAACTCGTCAAGGTCCTCCATGAATTCTATATCTGTGGGAATCAGTTCGTGAGAGGAATTTCCAGTGTATGAGGGAATACTGACATTTCCTAGAACACCTGATTTCATAAGATACATCTACAGTCTTTACATTAATACAAAAGAAGAAAAAAAAAATGCTCACTGTAGAAGCAAAGTATTCAGCAAATACAAACACACACACAAAAAAAAAAAAAAAAAAAAAAAAACTCAAGTAATGAGAGACCCAGAAAATATTCCTCTATAACTTACTAGAAGACCCCATCTTCTTTTCCTTCTCCTTCTTCTTCTCCTCATCTGGATCAACGATGATGATGCGGCCTGTGTTCTCGTCCACCTCGAATCCACCTGTGCTGCCCTCTTTGGGACGCCTGGCCTTCAGCTTGGGTCTCTTGGAGAGCACCGCTTGGCCGGCTGACGGGTCAAGGAGATCCACAATGTTGTCCTGGAATAAATGCGTTTTGTGTTTTTCTTTCTATGGACAATTTCTCTTCATAGCTTCTCTATCCTTGCTAAAAATTAATCTTAAAAAAACCTTGTGACTATGATATCAAAATCCTTTATGGAAATAATGTAACTACTATGAAAAAAAGCTCTAAGTAAACAAATTAATAAAAAAAAAACCAGCAATACATATAATCACAACATTACTGGAAAAAAATTGCAGAAGGAAATAACTACCTCGTCCTCTTTAATCCAGGCTTCCTTTAGCCCCTTCTTCTTATCTTCTTTCTTCCCTTTCCTTCCACCTTTGCTGTCATCGTCATCATCATCACTCCTGTCATCGTCTGAGTCGATCTCCGCAAGAATCTCATCCAAACTGGGGAACGTAATAAGAAGTGAAAAACCTTGGCACTTAAACCATTGGCACCAGGTACGTGAACTGTCCATGAAGGCTTTTTGTTTTATCCATTTTGTTTACACAGAGATGGTTCCACAAGAGCTTAGTCAGGAGTGAGTTACTTGTCCTACCTGATTTCACCTGTTTACCCTATTCCTTCAATTTTCAAGAAAGAAAGGTTATTCTTTTTATATTTTTCTTATTATCATCATCATCATCTTAATCATTATCATAAGTATTAACAATAATAATAATTATAATAATAATAATAATAATAATAATAATAATAATAATAATAATAAAATAAGAACCATCACTATGTAAACAACACCTAACAAAACCAAAACCTAGAGGACAATGCAGCACTGTCCACTAAGAATAAATTTCTGATTTGCTAGATAAAAAAAGAAAAAGAACTATCAAATAACACAATACCTTGGTGGAATGGCTCCTCTAACAAAATCTTCATCATCACTATCTACTTTCTGTCCCTGCTTCCTCTTAGCTTCTCTCTCTCTCTTCTTCCTTGCTTCTTCCTTGCGGAGATTGCGTATTCGCTTCTGTAAGATGCCGTCTCCCGCTGGTACCATTGCTGTAAAGAAATATATATGCTGTCTATAGGCTTTGTTCACTGCATGCTTTTTTTTGTGAGAACACACATACTTATACAATCAGATAGTTTTTCATAACACATGCACTAAAAAATCAACTGCTTGTCAAAATGGGCCATTCTTTTTTATCTGTTTGATATTCTTGCTTAAACTAGTAGAAATGATCTCAAAACATCCTAAACAGATATAAAAAATGATTCTGAATACAAGAAAGAACTTGTACTAAATTGAAAATATGACCAATCAGCAAAGTAGTGAAGCCTTATGCCCATATATAGCTGCTATCAGTCCAGAGGTTAAAGGTAGCTAGCCTTCCTTTTCCTCGACTCACTCACCCATGAGGCGGTCACTGCCAAACTTCCTCACAAGTCTGCTCAGAATGTCACGCATTCTTCGGCGGAATTTGCGCTGGGTATCGGGGTCTATCTTGCAGAGGGTCTTGAAGATGTTCTCAAAATAGTCAGACATGACAGGGACTGGCATAAATGACAGAGTGGCTAAGAAGAAGGACAAGCAAGCCCCCACAATCTCTCTTGACTTGCACAGGAGTTGGATACACATGTTGTTCATCAGAAGGTCTAGCACATCCTTTGGTATGATACCTATTTGTAGGAAGAAAATAAAAATTAATGGCATTCTTTACACACATTTTCATAGAACTTCTAATATGGGTATATAAGTATTATGAATGAAATAAAATGCAAATAATTCTGGAAGTCTGTCTATGCCTGATGTATAAGCTTCAAGTTGTCCTCAAGGCAAAAACTGTAAAACTTGAATTTAAATAATACACAAATATGGACCAAATCAACCATTCACAGAAACTGAATAATGAAAGATAACCAATGCAATATCGGAACTCTGACAGAACAAATACACAGAACACCTACTTTTAAACTGATATGTGAGGGATGTGATGGCAATTATGGAATTCTTTGCCAGAGCGGGAGAGCCAACCAACCCAGCCAGGAAGAGCTTCATGCTGTGTCGTACTGTGTCTTCTGGGGAGCACTGGCAATGGGGATCAACATATAAATCAGCTATGTGTGCGCAAGTAAGAGATGTCATCAACTCATCCTCTGGCGTTCAAACTGTTTACTAAATACCTGTACATTTCAACAAACTATCCAATGATTGGACATTTAACACCAAAACTCTCAACAGAACATTAAACTACCTTAATAAATCCTTTTTTCAAGTTATCAAAAGCACCTTTCAAAAGAAAAGAAAAGAAAAAGAGACTTACTTGAAGTTGTTTCTGGATGGTGGTGCCCACATCAGTCAGGAGCGCGAAAGCTGCTTTCCGCGTGGCTGTGGACATTCCTTTGCCACAGCACATGACAGTCTCAGCAACGACCTGCTGCAGGAAAGTGTCTCTCTTCTCCTCCTCCATATCGATCTTCAGATTCAACAGAACCTGCCTGATGCACCTCAGTCTTGGGGCACGCGAAGGTGGGGAGGCGGCTGTGAGAGACTGCAGGAGGATTTCATAGAGCAGCTTTAGGTTATTTGTGATGAACTGTGAGCTGCTCTCTGTTCCAACACTGAGGAGTTCCTCTAGGAGTCTGTAAGCTGCTTTCTGTTCCTTGTGGTTCACGTTCTCTGTGAGAAGTGGCTTTACTCTATCAAAGAACCTCTCAAACGAATCAGTTTCCATGTAAGGAAGGAATGCTCTAACCAGATCAAGGAATGCCTGCTTCTTAAAGCTATCTGTCTCTCCATCATACTTATTCATAATTAGGTTTAGGAATTCATTACATTTGGGTTTGGGTACAATTTGTAGGTATGTTTTAATTGTTGAATATGCAGCCAATCTCTGGCTTTGATGAATTGTGGGTTCCTCCGTCCCTCTGTCAAATTTGCCCTTAACTTTTGTCAAGTATACATTAAATAGTGCTGGCAAGTAATTCTTTGAATATACAGCCAACCTGCCTGGATTTTCCTTGTTATCATTAATCAGGTTTCGCATTGCTGCCATGACCTGAATCCTTGTATCGTCGCGGAACTTAATGTGATCACACAGGATGCGGGCGAACTTCTCGTTGCTTAAAGCCTTTTCCACATCTTTGGCCTTCTCGCAGAAACTTGGCAGCAGGCCCCATATCTGGTTTTCTACTGTCCGGTAAGTTTTGCTCAGGAGAGATTTCCCTTCACCTTTCTCCTTCAGTGCATTTAGGATGATGAAACACTTTCCAGCCAAGTGCACAAAATAGTCCTCAAAGTAAGTCAACTCCGTATTTCTGACATGTCTCCTCAAGAGAGGGAGAACCCACAGGTGCTTTTCATCCTCAGCAATGTTGCCTGTGATCTGCAGTGGCACAACGGACATCAGGGCCTTGGGTCCTAGACCTTTAACAGCAGCGCCAATGCAATGCTCAACATGCGGTCTGACGGGGCAGTTCCAGTCCCTCACCAGCGTAACCAAGTTCTTCAAGCACGGCATCATCAGATCAGGGAAAAGAGGGCCAATAGTACTGAAACATTTTGACAGGGTTTTGAAGACATAAACCCAAGCAGGCTGGTACTGCAGGGACATGCCTCCCTCGATGGCTTGGAAAATGGTTTGCACCTGAAGTTGGAAATTTTCAGTGGCCTTCATTTCTTCACTGCACTTTCCTATGCTTTCCTCCAGCAGTGCGTCAAATGATTCAAACACCTGAAAAGATAACAAAGCATTATATAAGTGGGTTTCTAATTTGATTAAAACTTATTTTCTGCCAAGAACATTTTTTTTTTATTTACTCTGAGGAACAGAAGTGCAACATGAAATTTACCTTTGAATGAACATCATTGTGCTCACTGCACCAGAATGGAACAAGCTGAACAATCCATGTAGTTATGTACTTCATTCCCTCTTCTTCATCAGTCCTGTAATAAAAAAAACATTATATGAAAAATACATTAAATACCTATAAACACACTCACAATATTGGGAAGTAACTTGCCAAAAATGTTGATTTTCTTAATCAAGATACCTTTCTTCTTTATCTTAACCTGGCCTAACCCCTCCCCCCCAAAAAAAAAGCAAGAAAGAAAGAAATAAAGAAAGAAGAAGAAGAAAACACGAACAGCAGACTTCAAAAAGCTACTCACCTAAAGAGATTCAACAGTGCAGCCGTGAGAACTGTGATCCAAGCACAGGCAGGCTGAGAATCATTCATGCTCGGTATAACTGCTGCCAAACTGCCTGGGACACCACTGGTGCCTGTGGTGAGGGCTGTGATTAGGGCTGCATTGGTCCCTGAGGGGAAAATCTCCGGACTAGGCTTGGACATCATCACACTGTAGAGGGCTTGCATGGCGCTGGCATTTATAAGGGCGTTCCCGAGCTGCATCACTGACAGGATGCCCTCACATGCGCCCTGGGGGGAGGGAGGAAGGAAAGCAAGGAAACTTTGAGAAGCTGCAACACTTGAAAGTCAGAGCAGGCTATGTGGTTGAAATTTGGTTTCCTCAGACTTAATCTAAAAACTTTTAACTCTGCAACACCATACTGCAACACTCTCTTTAGGAAATGGAAAATGCATATTTAGCTTTTATTACTATTCTTGTGCTAATGCCTTTTACCAATACGTGGCAGTATCCATTTTCTCCACAAAGCCTACACATCTTACACATCTAATTTATATCAATTTAACAATAAATAAACATTACAAATATAAATAAATATATAAATTTAAACAAATATATAATCCCCCTCCCCCCAATACACACACACACACACACACACACACACGCACACACGCGCACACACGCACACGCACACACATACACACAAACACGTGTGTATGCGTACTAGCACACACACACACACGCACACGCACATACACACGCGCACACACACACACACAAAAATCCTCAATGTTCCAGCCACCCCTCAGTACCTTCAATTGCTTCCGTGGAAAGGACACGATGACTTGCCGGAGCAAGACCAGGAGGTGGAGCGTCGTCTTGGTGTTGCCCATCTCGCTGGACGCCCTCAGCTGCGCGTTGCAGAACTCGGCCACCTCCCCTGCAGCAGGGTGGATCACCTTCTCGTCCCCTTCGTCCAGCATGAAGCATGAGGCCTTCAGGACAGCTGTGACGTCGTGGTGGGCGGCTTTTCTGACCTGCGGCAAGTTTGGTCAGTGTCATTCATGAGTCATGTTCATAGAAAGTGTCAAATAACGCCTTGACAGAACAATGAAGAAAAAGAAGATGGAGAAGACGATGAATGAGAAGAGGGAGACGGTGATATATTGAAGAAAGGCAAGCATATCAAGGAGAGCAACAACAATGATAAAAGAGGAAAAAGAAAGAGGACATAAAGAATGAAAAGAAGAAAAGAAAAAGAGGAGGAATAGACAGAAAGGGAAGAAAAAGAAAGGGGAATGTCGTAAAAATAAAATACAAAAAGGAGAAATAATAAAGAAAAAGAACAGGAGGCAGTAATTGAGAAATTAAAGTAATAACAATGAATAAAGAAAAGAAAAGAAAAGAAAGAGGACGTGAAGAATGAAAAGAAGAAAAGAAAAAGAGGAGGAAGAGACAGAAAGGGAAGAAAAGGAAAGGGGAACACCTAAAAAATAAAATACAAAAAGGAGAAATAATAAAGAAAAAGAACAGGAGGCAGTAATTGAGAAATTAAAGTAATAACAATGAATAAAGAAAAGAAAAGAAAGTAAAAAGGATCAATATTACCTTTGGCTTATCATAGACTGTGAAAGCCAGTATCTTCTGTAGCAGGTTGTTGGTATAGGGGTATGACCACTGGTCTCGCAACTGGGCTCGGAGGAGAACCGACATGGACCCAAGAGCCTGTCGTGGAAAGAGAAAATATAAGCAATCTGATGAAGAACTCTAATTAATCTCATAAGTACATCATGTTACATAATCTAATACAGAGATAAAGAGCCTTAAAAACAAGAAGAAGAGGAACATAATAAAAACTTTTATTCCACATTAAAAAAAAAGAAAGAAAGAAAAGAACAACAACAACAACAACTTACATTAACAAGCAGGCTACCATTGCCAGACTCCTGATACTGTGTAATAATATAATCCAATCTCTTGGCAAAGTCACCGAACTTGGTGCGTAATACTTCCACCTGGACGCGACGGATCACCTTGGCCATGAGGGCAAGGGTGGCACTGACGTCCTCCTCACTGTCGCTAATGCCCTCCAGACTTATCATCTGTGGGGAACATAGTAGTTAGTAAAAGGAATGCCTGTGGGAAAATGCTGTGGGAAAATGGGTTGTTAAAGCTAGTAAGACGTATAGAAGTGAGGGAAGAAAAGGAATAAATGAGAATAAGAATGTGGAAATAAAGAAAGAAGAAGTGAATGGAGGGGTGTGAGAAGAGGACAAGGATGGGGATAAGGAAGAGGAAATAAAAGAGAATTAAAGGTGGAGGAGAAGGGGGAGGGGGAGGGGGGGAGGAGAGGGGAGGAGGAGGAGGAGGAGGAGGAGGAGGAAGAGGAGGAAGAGGAGGAGGAGGAGGAAGAGGAGGAGGAGGAGGAGGAGGAAGAGGAAGAGGAAGAGGAGGAGATAGATGAAGAGAAAAAAAGCAGAAGGGAGAGTATTTCATCACTTTAACAAAGGCAAAAGCCTACAGAACTATAACAACATATCTCTAAAAACATTAAAGTTCTTTCATACTAATAAATCACAAACGTACTACTTACTAAGGCGCAAAAATAAGATGTTGACGTTTCTGGCATGCCCGACTCCCTCATATACTCTTGAGCAGCTGCATGGATAGCCAACATACGGGTATGTTGCTCTGAAGATACACTGAAGTCCCGAAAAAATCTGATGTAAAAAGGAAAAAAAGCTTTATGATAAGAAAGAAAAACATAAATCAGATATGAAAGCTGAATACAAGAAAAGGCATGTGTATACTAAGGGTAGTGCTAGAAAACAGTATTTATAACTACATATCAGCCATGCCATCATTACATGCCTTTTGCAATGAAGAGCTTGACATATACTTGATCTAAGATATCAGGGGAAGCCTTTGAGACTTTAAGAAAAGGCCTTTGCTGAAGAATTTAAAAATATATATATTTCCAAATTTTTTACCTGGCATAAAGTCATTCCATGCTAGAAACAGGCTATTTACAGAAGACTTTTATTTTCATTCTATACTTGATGGTTGTATTGTGAAATGAACTTTTACATTAGATAATACAGCTGCTGCTTCAGTAACCGGTACAGAGTGAGTGAGTTAGGTTTAGGGGGGTTCAGTCCATTCTAATGTCAGGAACAGACTAAGGAAGGAAAAGGCCTCTAAGCTTGTAACAATCCACAAGCACTTGATCTAACACATGAGAAAAACTTTATGTATAACAGGCCAGTAATATAGCAATGATTATGACTTAGCTTTTAGTTTCAATGGTACTTATAGTATTTCAGTCTTATTTCCAATTTTTAGTATTTCACACAGAGGTCAAATACCATGACTTCAGATGCCCATTTTTCATTTCTTTTAAAGTATAACTTAAGTGAGTAAAGTGACATTTCTCTGATATCTGTCCTAGATAAGAATAAAATGGCACTTAGTGGCTGTTGATGCTCCACGCCCAAAATAAAAAACTGATGATGATGATAATAATGATAATGATAATAATAATAATAATAATAATAATAATAATAATAATAATAATAATAAAGGATCTGCTAATGAAGGGAAATAAATTTTCTCAATTTTTAAAATACAACTTGTTTTATTTCTAAAATTTTAAATAGTTTCTAACATAGCTTAGAAGAAAAAGTTATGTAGATAAATTAGTAAGATTTATCAACACCTATATACACATGCCTAACCATACCAGGTAGGTATACAGGTATTCACACATCCCTGCCCCCCCCTCCCCCCCCCAAAAAAAAAGGGAGAGAGAGCTAAAAACATATACAAACACTACTAAGAATTGTGGCACTCACTTTTCGAAAGCAGGGATTGTGCATGTGGTGAAGTTAGTTGCAAAAGTTTTACAAGACTTTCCAGCACTCTGGAGGTCCTCTGGAGTAATGCCCAGATTCTCCATCTGATCTGAGACATTGCTGAGAGCTGCTTCATGCTGTGCCACGGCCTCCTTGGTCAAACCGCTCTCACCTGCAATTGTTGCATTTATGTCAGTGATGCATACCAGTGTACTGTTCCTATGTTTCTGAGATTCTGCCCTCTATGACAAAATAGACTCAACATGAACTAACCTTGAGTTCCATGAATTTAAAAACCAATTCAACCTCTTCCCTACGAATTCTCCCTAAAAAAGTGAGCCCTAGATTTATAATGAATCTATACATTGCTGATGGCTTTACATCCCAGAAGGAAGAGACAGAATTCGTACAGACAAAAAGAACTTCCCTCGGACCAACAACTCCCCAGGGCTGGTATGTTCAGGAAACTAGATGTGCCGATTAGATTCAATGCAGAGTATGACATGACAATAATCACGAGCATAAGGTCTAACAATACCTATTCGAAGTATAGTAGACAGTCCCCTACCAAAGATGACAGACTGAGGGGAGGTTAGTTGAAATATAAACTAGTTCCATCATGGATATCCAGTGTGTATTTGTGAGGAAAATCATTTTGATACCTATACCAAATTATCATAATAACTACAAAGCAAATCTGACATTTACAAAATCTCCAGGCTCATTAGGAATAATTACTTTTAAAATTATTTTTTAAACCAAGACAATATCAGGTCCTCATAAGGAACTTAAATAGACTGGTAGCACCACCTTCATATACCTTCTTAACCCCTTCCCGAGAGGTGATTCTGATAGGCGTGAAAAGAAACCGCTCAAAAAGTGGCGTGCGGCTGTACGCCGTGGCAGCGAGCCAGTGAGTCGGGCTGATGTACTGAACTCACACGCTCAAAGTCAGCGCGCCACCATTGTTTGCCAGAGTGTAAAGTTTTTTTGTTTTTTTTCTTCTTCACCCGTCACCATTGGGTTAAACCTGGAGTATTCTAACAGCTGCTTTTTTGGTATGGAACACTTCATTATCATAAATAAAAGAATGGACCTTTATTTTATTTCTTGTAATTATAACAGCATCAAATAAATCATACTAATAACACAGGTATATCTAGTATCACACAGCACACTCTGACTGGCTAATGTGATGGCATTATTTAGCTCTGTCCCCTTTGCAATCATGTCCATCTCTGTGATATATTATAGTAAGTGTTTTCTTTGAAGATTGTTCTATAATGAAAATAGTAAAAAAACAAATAATCAAAGAAGGCAAACTTTGCCTGTACTAGACAG